GACAGAGAAAACAGGTTAGCGTGACTTGTGAATTAGAGAGAAACGTGTGCATTCGCAACAACGGCAGTGGATCGTGGACGAGGATAGATAGTTGGATACTGGTGAGTAAGACGAGGACAGTAAGAAGGCACCGCGTTGCATTCCACGTGATCGAGAGAAGGGCACGCCTCGGCCGTCGAGTCACGCGCTCAACCACGCGTTTACTCTTACCGACACGTGCACGCAATGTGTCCGGCCGGGCATTCGGTTGAATAGAGATCTTGTTATTTTACGTGTACGAAGCGCAATGACATTTCTTAAAGGTTGGTCCATTATACATATCGATTTACGAAAGATATAATATCGTTTCGTTGCTTCAATTTGATTGATTTTAGAAATTCAGTTTTTTCATGGATCTGTGTAAATAATTCTTCGATTGTGTAATGTCTCATCTATGTGCTGTCTTTTTATATAAAATTATTGATTTCGATTAAAGTGATAGAAAAACGGATAAATATATTAAAATAGTTCACATTAAAAATTTTTTGTTGAATTTGTCAAATAAATCATATATATTAATTAAAAAAAATATTATTAAATAACTGTTGATTTTTAAAAAAATTGAAATTCTATTATGCAGTTGCATATATTGATTTTTAATTTATCGAGAATATAATATGTATAATGTAGGAATATATAGAGAGTATAATTTCAGAGTTATTATTTTTCATTAATTCTTATATTAGTATTCATACCAGATAGTTTCTTTATTATTTTCAGATATATTGATTCTCGAATCTCGAAAATTAAATTGAATTAAATTTAAATACAAGGTAATAAAATGTACTTGTACATTGTTTAATAAAATTTGCACGATAAAAAGAAGAGAAACATTCGTGGGATTCTCAGGTTCAAGTATGAAACCAGTTCGGAGTTTGTTTCTTGGGAACGTGCGGACCTATCAGGATTTCTTCACGGGAATCGAAATCTACTCAGGGTAAGAAGGGAACATGACGTAACGTCTATAATTATGTATCGGCCAGGCGAATGTTCTAATTTGCCAAGGACAAACGAGCGGACATTTCTGCGAGACGTGATTTTCAGGCGATAATCGAGGGGAAGCACCTCGATGCACTCGACGATGCAATCACCGTGACGTAATTGCTTTCACGTGCCCTCACTCGACCCTTGTGTAACGTTCTTTTTCTCTCTTCCTTTTTTCTTTTTTCTTTTTTTTTTTTTTTCGCCGTTCTAAAACCGTGACCACATCAATTTCACTTTATCACGTCATTATTAATTCAACGTTCTTCGGTTTTACGTAATGCGAATTACGTGTTCTTCGAGCATTACATAAAAATTAATACGAAAGGTCCAAGAAATAAGTGACATATTTCATCTATCAAAACTTCGAAAATAATAAAAATTCTAATCAATAATGAAGTTTATACTTTGTAATTGTAATAGACAATGGCCATCGAAATGCAAATATCGTTGAATATTCATCGACATGCATCCAGCCACAATAGTAGTTATATTTCTAAAAATCACGATAGTCATTGTTTAAACAATGCATAATTTAATCTTTGTTAAAAAAAAATCCGTCAAGTGATAGAATTCAGAATCAAAGATCCGTCACTCTAGAAAGAACTCTAATTGCTCCGTCTCGTGATAGAATTCAGAATCAAAGATTAAAGATCTGGCTATGATAACGACACTATCAGATTTTTTTTTATACGAGTATATATGTACAACTATTCGAGTATGTACCGAAATATTATTGCTTGAACAGTCAATTGACGAACGAATTGAGTTTAATAATTTCGTTTCAGAACAAGCACGAAGAGCAAGTCGATTAATGCACGACACAGGACACGTAATGGTGTACCAGATCAAGAATAGCACGGAGTTGCCACAGATTGAGTTTATTTTCTCCTGAGCCGTGTAGAAAATAAGACTATCTATTTTCGAATCGGTTGGCGTTATGCACGTACTCATGCATACGTCAAGTTCGTAGTTGCTTTAAAGGGAGAACAAATCAAAAAGTTTATTTTTTTATATTGATTTACACATAATATATATTGAATATATATATTAAAATTTCTTCAATTTGAGCATTGATTGAATACGATCATGATTATTTTAATTAAATATAAATAATGATATAATTTTTGTTTCGCGTAAACATAAAATTTCATTGTTTTGATTATTTTTTAAATTATTATATTAATAAAAAAAAGGAATGTATCATCTTTGACACGTAATTTATGATTGAAAAGTAAGAATTAAGCATTGTATCTTCAATTTGCTAAAGATGTTATAGATGCTCTGTTTACAGATTGAATCGTTCATCTTGAATTTACTTATCCAGTAGTAAGCTAACGTTTACACAAGCACAAATGCTTATACTTTCTAGTTCGTCTATAGACGTTCAACATCATAAAAATGTTTCGTAATGCGTAAATCTCTGCTGGCAAAAACGCATCGTTAGCCACATTCTTTTCACGCGTTCACTATAATTTTTTTTAATTTTAATGCAGTCGCGCGATCGACTGCATTAAACGCGTGATCACCTGCACGTGTTTAATTGTGTGAGTACGTGCATGTAATGGAAACAAGATCTGGATTCCACAGGTGACCCGCAAAACTAGAAAAGTATGTCGCTTGTAATAAAGCATAATGATCAAGATTAAAATCATTTAATTTTGCAGTTATGTCGGCTAGATACTGTTTCTAATTTTCTCCTTTTTTTTATGTTTCATTGTCCATAATGAAGTCGTATAATGTTACTCATAAAGATTGTCACTTTGTTAAATTCTACTATCATATGTATTTTTTTTTAAAATACGCATGATTGGAAATTAGTCGTAACGCGTTTTCAAATAGTTATGTTAATGATAGATATATAAAATATTGATTTTAATTGTGTCCAAATAAATTTATTATCCATTTTAAAAACTTGATCGTTCTAATCTAATCAAAATCATGTAAAGTACATATATAAAATTATTTTCCAATTAAATGTGCTCCAATAATTTATATAAATTCGTATTCATGCGAAGTAGCTATATTGATGATGAATAATTAAAATTTAATCTATTCGTTAGAACGATCAAAATATCCGGGAGGATGCGATATAACGTGTACGTGAACGATCCACAGAAAGAACGCAAACGCCACAATATAAACACATCATCGAATCGAGCGCGAACGAGAACTATCATTACCGCGTCCTCGTGTCACAGCGGAGCTTGAATACCCGTCGAGTTTGCGGTCTTGTAAGTACTCTGTTTTAATCCAATCGGAGGAAAGAAGAAAGAAAGAACTCACGACGCATAGATCGTGATCGAGAACAAACAAGGACAAGCGGAATGAAACAAAAGGGTGAGGAGAGATATGATCGATAGTTTCGAGTTAGGAGAAGGGATGCAGCCGTTGAAGAGAACCAAAGGAGAATGATGAGGGAAAGAGAGGTAGAGCGAGCGCGTGACAGAACACGTGACCGGGAGCACACGGTGCTCGCGTGACCGGCCCCGTGACGTCACGCGCACGTGTCACATAGCGTGGTAACCGCTTATCCCTCTCTTCGTTCGACTCCGCGTCCCAACGAGCGTTCCACACCTTCCGTGCCCCTCCACATATTCACCACTCCCCGCGTTGGTCAGTAACGTCTCAAGTCCCCACTTTACCCTCTTCATCATAGACTTTCACCGAGAAAGTTATCTTTTTTTCTTTTATACCTTACCACCCCCGCAATCTTAATACTTTTGTCGTGTTTGTTCAGATGTTATGAACAAATGTGAATTTGCATCATCGCGTGGAATCGTTACGTGATGCGGCACGATCCATCTTCAAATCGACTAAGAATAAAAAAGTAGTTAGTTTCTCTTCAACGAACATTATCGAATCGTATGGACAAGATTCTAAACGAAATGGAAGGGTGAAAGTGTGCGCTTGAGAAATTTACTTGATTTTATCGCATGATATCGGATGATATTAGTTATACTAAAGTGTTTTAGTATCGTGTTTAGTATGGTACTTTCGAGAGTCGTAAAGTAATTTTATCAGTGACACGATTATTTATCATTCAAGGTACATACATTATTCATTTTTTTATTGTCTTCAATGGAAATTTGTGATCCTTAAATTTTTGATATGATCGAAAGAAATAAGTGTATCTATTTGATACACTTAATATTAGATCGGGATACGAATTTATTTTATGTTTATATCATGATGAATGCAATACATAACGATTTTTCATTATTATTATCAATTAATTATTATCTCCATCAATTTATAATTTTAAACTTTTGCAAACAAGATTTTAAATTATCAATGTATTTTATTACTATGGAATCTGTAACTTATCTTGGAACAATACTTTTATATTAAATTATGAAACAATTATTGATTTTTAAAATAAGATAATTGATAAGAGAAAAAATAAGATCGATTAGAAAAATAATGTTTAGGTATAGATTAATCTTTTTTGTTTTTGTTTTTGTAGAATATACAGCATGCGTATCGCGAAAGTTATTTCGAGATCATCATATCGATCCACGCGTAATATTATCAACACGTGATGTGAACTAAGAACACTGAGAACAAATTGTCTTATCAGAGAATTTCGCAAAGCTCCGTAAACGCACACTCATCGGTATGTTATCGTCGCTGAAAGATATCGTAGATTACGAAAAAAATCAAACTACGTAACAATTGTCCAATTACTATCTGTCATAATTTAATTATTTTGATAAATAGATGAAGATAATAATGACAATGGTATCTGTAAACATTCATTTGGAACGAACGGCAAAAATTACTTTACTTTATTAATTTATATTAAAAGTTTGAGTCGCGTGGTTCCGAGATCGATAGTTCCATGCCTGAGATGGTTCTGGATCGCTCCCACCAGTGGCTTGCGTGCCACACCGCGGACCATCGCGAGAATCGAACAGGGCCGCGCATTATACGCGTAGTGTAGCCTGCTAAGGAGACGACACGCGTTTTATATATATATATATATATATATATACACACGTTGTGATACAAACTATTCAAACAAAATCCTTTTTATTTTTATCAATCTTAAGAATTGCAATTACGAATTTATATATGGTACAATGTACCGCGTCAATAATAAAGAAGACGCGTACGATTGATCGAAAATTCAAGCGTGTATGTAACATAATTATTGGTCCAGGAACAACGTCAAGGCCACACGTGAATCACGTGAAATTCGTACAGTGCATATATATGCATCTAAAGAAGGGTATTTATAAGTTCTGAATACAGTGACCGCGAATAAACGCGCCATCCGTTTAATTATTAATTCTGTCAATTAGTTTATTGTAAAATTTCGCGGTTGAAAACGAGTCAACGGCCTTATCGTAGTTCACATTTATAGCTAGGTTGTGTTTCTTTGTTTTTTTCTAGTAATCGTCTCTTTGTATGGAAACGATTTATATACGGACAAGAGATCGAGTTTAAAAATTTGATCGTTATGTTTATAGGAGATCGTTGTAACGAGAGATCGATCTACGATCATCGGTTCCAAAAAAAGAAATCGGGAAGTAGGAAGAAAGACGGAGAAGAAAAGAAGAGGGCGCCAGTACAGATATATCGGTGAGTGTGACTGGACGGAAAGACGTGGGCGATTCCCAAGTACCGGCCTCCTGATCCGTCGTGTCGTTTCGAGTGTGTCAGTGAGTTTGTGGAGGCGAACCTAACCTAGTCGTCGAGTGTGCACTATCGATCAAGAAGTCGGTTTAAAGAGAATTTAACTTTTTTTTGAAAAAACTGATCATGCATACGTAATTTTTAAATCTGTGCAAATTCGTTTGTGCGTATCGTTCAATTTCACGTCCAATTAAAGCAACTTGCTTGTTCAACATACGTGTTATAATCATAAATTGAAAGAAAAAAGTTTTCGGTTCCCGGTGTGAAAACGGAAACGGAGATAATTGAGATAACAAGGTGAAGGAAGATTAATAATAAACGAGAAGAAGAACCGAGAGAAAGAGAAGCTAACGGTGATAGTAATTCGAAATTGGAAGTGATTGTGTTGTGCATTGGAAACGATTCTATGCGGCAAGATGATGGAGACACAAAATTATTGGGAGGATAACTCCGCTCATTCTATGCAAGTAAAATACGAGAGGTAAATATTCAAATTAATAGTATTGATATTTTAAATAACAATTGGCAGAATTTTTTAATTTAATTAGAAAGCTTAATACATTTTTTTTTTTACAAAAATAATATTAATTTTAAAATAATTATAACTTCTCAAATATTATGTAAAAAGGACTTATAATTATTATTTTTATTTTATTGTTATCGTTTCGGTCATATATATATATATATATAATATAATAGGACATTATAAAACACTTCGCACGCGACATGAATCACCGCTGCATTCTAGATTCTTTCTCAACGGCAGAGGAACGTTCCACGCTGTCGACCTTGCCGGCATTATTCAATCTAATACTATCCAAAAATATTTACATGGATTTACCACAAGCTACATTGAGAACGCTCATTAAATAGGAACCATTGTTCGCGTGACTCGCATTCGTACTGGTATATTAGCAATTTTAGTTGTATACACGTGGAACTGTTTAAAATAAGCGATCATATAAATTTGATGATATTACACTATGTAGATTTTTGAAAATTTATCTTATTTCAATATATGATTTGTTAGTTATATAAAACCATAAGCGTGGCATAGACAAAATAATACGTATTATTGTGGTTACGCTCCTGATCATGCCGCGCAATTTTATTTAATTAAACTATTTAGATTCATGATAATAATTCTTTTTAGATCAATTAATTTGTGTAAAATTAATTTGATCATTTTCGCGACGATATTTATATCACAAAATCATATAAAAACTGAATAAACTAAATAGCGTCCCCTTGATTTATAGGATAGATTACTATAAACCTATACATTGGCTGATAGAATAACTACACATCTCGTTATCATGAATATATAGCTGTCTGATTTTGACATTCTTGCTCTCCTCTCGCTTAACCCCTCTCGCTCAACGTTCTTTTCCTGATTTTATACGATGTTGATAAGACCAATGCTGATATGACTTCTCTCGTCTCGTCTCGAAAGTCCATATATTGTCAAAAATTCATGGCCGCATCAAAGATAAGATAAATTACGAAGAATTGGCTCTATCGTCGGTGATTGATGTCAATTAAACGCATATACATATGAATATGACGAGTTGTATATGCAAGTGATTGATCGATCGTGGATTCAAATTCAAGGAGATTCAACGATCTGTGAACAGTGCGGCACAGTGAAATGAAAATCATTCATCAAACGCGATAGTAAAAGTAATTATAATTTCATCATAGTTTATTATAATTATAATCTATAAATATTTATATATGAATACGGTATTGTACCGAAATAAGTAACAATCTTTTGACTCGAAATAAGCAAATCGCTATGTTTTTTTGTTTAAACACGGCCATAAAATTCGAAAACATTTTAAATTATATAGTGAGATGACAAGCCACTTTTCTTTCAAAAATAACATTGCTCTTAGGAATCATTCGATGATTTGCTCGCTATCTCAAACTTTTCGCTCGTTTTTCATTTTTCATTCCATTCGAGAACAAAAACAAATCGAATAATACATCTGATCGCAAAGAATTGGCCGATTCACTGAAACAATATTGTACTCGATTCTTCGCTCAAATGATATCGTAACAAGATCAATCGTTATTAAGCGTCATTTAAGAATCTATCAAGTTTTTATTAATAATAATACTTTTCACGTTGCATGGGGGGGAGGGGGGGAAAGATAGATATTGCTACAAGAGACATTGACAAGAGACGTAATTTGGTAAAAAAAAATATCATTGGTTATTAGACATTGATATTCGTGGTTTATTTTCTATTTTCTTTATCAAGGAAAGTGAAGGAAAGTAGCGTTTATGTCGCGTATTCATGTCGCTCGTAACGAGTGACTTTCACGAGTATGTCAGCACGGTTGGTCATAACACTTGCGTGAGATCGAGAATAGACTGGAGACACAGTGTACGCATACATACATCGTGACGAGGGGCACGCTGACGACGACGGTCGCAGACAACCGGACAATTTCTTCGAGCTATGCTATAGAATACGGTTTCGCATGTTGGCCGCTTGAACCGTTGCATCGGCCATTGACACTGTAGATCGATCCGTACGGATTTATTTGAGTACCGTTTATACAGCGCGTAAATGTATGCGTACTGCATGTGTTCGCGAACGACTTTTATTTTCCCTTGTTTTTATTCGTCTTTGGAGATACTACACCGATTTCATTACTACATCGTTTCTCGAGTTCAAGTGGAGGTGTAGTTACCGATATAGTGGTTGAAGTAAATCGAAATGATCGATCCAACGTTACTATTCGCAAGGTATATGCGATGAAATCATCGTTTTTTAAAACGATCTGGAATAACGGAATTGGATTTGAATTTGTGAGAATTTATAGGTTTTAAATTTTCGCGGTAATGAAGGCGAATTCTATAAATACGAATGTATGACATTATGTGAAATTTGATTGAATCGATTAACCATATTCGAAGGAGCAATAACTTCATGCTTTTATCGAGTATACGTGCAGATAAGACTATGGTCTCGATTGGCTGTATATAGATACTTCTGATAGTAGACGAACCATTGTGTGACAATGACACCTTGGTTTTCGTGCCATGGAAAATGATCACGTTAATTGACGTAATCTGAGTAAACGACTGCGTCATGGAAACTAACGCATACTTGCTCGAGAATATCTTGTGTGGGCGTATATTACGTATTCGAGCGATTTTGGCGATATCGTATGTACATACGCATTGCGGATGACAGAGAGTACGATAGTGGTAATTTTCCCAAAGCGGGTGTTTTTTTTTTTTATTAGATATTTCGATACTTTTATATGTCTTATGTTTTATTAAAGTTATAAAATACTACGTAGAGATTAATGATTAATCATATTTTATTTCATTTATAAAAATAAGACGCCTCCTTAGAGTGATAGAATGAATTTCTCATTGGTAGTTTGATCTTATTAGTGATTTTTAAATTTCTTTCACGCATTTCCTCGAAACGGCAAAAGAAAATCCGTCGATTCGCTCGCTCGTAAGTTGTAACGGCCGCGTTTCACTGCTTTCCGTCACGTAGGCACGGGTCTCTCCTGCTCGCGAGAATTCGCAAACATAGGCCTGCAATATCGATTGGATCGTTAAGATGTCTGCAAGTGTTCTATATTTATCCCTAGGAATGTTATAATAATCGCACACGCGTATGATTTTCCGCAAGCTTTCCAATTTATCTTTTTCCGTTTAAGAAAAGTTGAATCCATTAAATGGATCGGTTCGAAAGGAAGATAAATTTTCGAATTTTCTTCGACTTGGAGCACGAGATACGTATTCATTTCGTAGCACGGATTTCTTGGAATGCGATGATGGAAACCGCAAAGCACCTGCATCCTCGAACAATAGAGGCGTGCATATGGAGGTCGATGCAATGGAGAAGGGAATTACATCGATCAGCGATAAATTACGGTCACAGGAGACAACGGCGTCAACCACCCGACAATGACCGTCGTTGTATTCTCGATGCAATTAATGTCTCTCTCTTTCTTACATTTATGCGCGAAACATAGATTCGATCTTTCTGTTTCTGTTTCACCAGCATCTTGACACAGATAGTTTCCCCCCTTCGTGATGTCGCATATCGTGGAACAAAGCAAAAGTTCTTTCACGTACTTAAAATGCATCCGGTCAGTTGCTTTTCTCTTCGCGATAAGATGTTACGATGTTACGTATCGTTAAAGAACACTATCGTCATCATTACATCGATGATAAAAGAGAAAAAAATTATGTTTGTACATCATAAACAACTTTTCATCGAACCTGTCCTTCGAAAAATCACGAATATGCACGCGTGCGAACTGGATATTCCCGAATGGGGGCATCGATCGATCGATATTACTTTTTCGATTGATCAACGTGCAAGCTATGCTATAAAAATGATTACGTTGATTTCGATCGAAGATTTGTTAAATCGTGTCATCAACCAATCATACGATTCTTATTTCCTTCACGCTCCTCTGCATGATATAGATAATACGTTTGAATACGCTTGTGAAGAATAGGTGGAAAATTTCGACGATAAAGCGGTAAGTGCCTGTGATAAGACGAATTTAACGAATGGTGCGCGAAGTTCATGGTACACAATTTCTTCTCTTCTTTATGAAAATTCCGTTCCGTCAACGATTCGTCCATTAATTCCTTTTTATTGGAAATCGGATTGCTGTGGTCGGTATAATTCCCGAGAGACGTTCAGTGTCGTTGAAGAAAAAGTGAGAGTTACCTTGGCAATTCCATCGTCGATCGACCGTGTGCGTTTTCATAGGTGCGCGCCTCGGGAAGGTCGGGGGGAGGAATGACTCCCCGCCCGATCAATGTGTGTATGCGACGTGTATAAGCGAGCGTGGTAAATAAGCCGACGATTCGATTAGCGGTAGGGAGATGACTCGTTGTGAAAAACTTTGAATTATTGTGCCAGAAACAAAAGATAAACGTCGCTCGCAGAATACTCGTCCAATTTGTACCTTCTTCGAACACAGGTGAACAAAATGCTCGTGATCGATCAAATCTTTCGATTCGAAAAAATTGGAAATTTTCTACAAACGGAGAAATTGTTTGGTGTGATGATTGAACCATGTTCAATTTATTTCTTTTTCATCTTTATCCGTGATTCATTCCAATGATTACTTTTCTCTAAAATTAATCGTTCGAACGAACGATTCCGTATCGATTCCGCATCATTCTTTTCCTCCAGATATTGGTCGTTTTCGATATTTCGAATCACGATCCTAACAAGTCAAGGTTCAACTCGAGAAATCGAGGTCGGCACGAACAGATTTAACCACACCAGTGAAACTATTCGTAGGATTATGAAATGTAGTTCGTGGCCGTTTCTCGCTGGATAACGAGTTGTTTTGTATCTGTGGCAACGTGGATCAAGTCATTTCTCACAATCTCTTTGATCGTTTATTAATTTCCGATTCCATTACTCGTCTCGATTTCTTTGCGATCAACAAATTTTATGATACTCGGAACGATGAGTTTGCGCCA